AACGCTTACACTGTTCTCATCAGAACCCGCGTTCAGTTCTGCGGAAGAACTGATCGGGTTCTGATGAGAACAGTGTAAGCGTTCAAGCAAACCACTTCTGAAGATGCAAGCCACTCGTGCTTGCGAAACGTCAAGAAGAAATTCTACCGAACGACGGCCTAAAAACCCATTAATTTTATCACTATTATTATTATTATCACCATAGCTATTATTATGCAAATCTAGCCGTGTAATACCCGAAGGTTAATCGCAATAACTATGCCAAAAAACCGATAATAATCGGCTCATATTTATAGGTTCTGGGGCCAGTTCCGGTCAATTTTTATGAATGGACTACCGAACAAACGAGCACGCAACCCGAAGTGTATTGAACTTGTTTGTTTTGCCAATAAATTATGCGATAAAATCACTTGAATCCACTATAAATACACCCGCGCTTTTACTCTACCCGGTTTTCCTTGCACCTAATTGTTGCAATTGGAGGCTTTTCCCATGCAGAAGACACGGGGCGAAGGCAAAAAGCAGAAAATCAGCTAACCGGAAATGTCGAGAAGAAGCTAAAAAGCTCAGGAATTTCTTCATCAGTCGAACAGTCGCAATTAATCAGGCTCTTCAATAGGGTGTTTTCACTTTTTTTAAATGTTGATATATAGAAAGTAGTTATGGCAAACATTACACTGATATAATTTTTTTGGCAAAAAAGTCTCCATAATAATTCTAAAGCAAATTTAAATCAACTCAGATATTTTCCGCCAAAAACGCCGAATCCGTATCGTCGGTTGCCTATCCCGCTTGTGACGTAGCAGGTCATATCAACAAAGTGTCTCGCGTTTATTTTGTTGTTTTCGTAGCTTTGTTATATTATTTAAGTTATTGTGATTGCCATTATTTTATTGATTATTATTATCTTGCATAATGGAAAATAGCGACATGTATGGATCACAAAATAAGTGGAAGATGCAAGCCACTCGTGCTTGCGAAACGTCAAGAAGAAATTCTACCGAACGACGGCCTAAAATCCGAAAAACCCATTAGTTTCAAGGAATGGCCTCGAAAGTCTATCTCTTTTGATAAGGTCAAGTTTGCACTTAAAAAATTGATTTCTGAAACTTTTGCGTAATTTTTTTGGATAAAAATCAACTAAATGATCCAAAAAAAAAATCTTCAACCATAAGTTCCAAGAATTTTGCAAAAGTCACTGCGGACTAGAATCAATCGCAAATTTTGCAAAATTGTAGAGCCAAATTGCGGCAATCAAATGACGCATAAAACGTGTTAAAACGTGTCTTTCTTTTCGTGAAATCCCTTTTAAATGCGGAATGTGTTGATAAAAAACTCGGGTTTGGCCATCGTCAAAAATTCTCTAAAAAATCGTTTGAACCAGTTGTCAATTCGAAATCTAGAATATGGATAGGCGAAGAACGCCTTTGTTTAAGGGAAGAAGTTGCCAGTTTGTAGCTGGTTGGGTTCTGGAGAATAACATTTCTTGAATATGTCAGATATGGGCAAAGCCAGGTTTGGAAAATGCGCATTTTCGACCATAATTGAGTAAAAATTGCTCAAAAATTTTCCAAAAAAGTTTCCAATCTGCAAAGTGCAGATCACTGTAGACCCAGGACAGCTCTATGCAGTGATCTTGACCAGAATCTTGTAGCTGCTCTGGCTTTGAAGAAACTAATTGTCGAAACTAGATAGTCTCGCCTGGATTCGAAAGGCCAACCTCAAGTTTAAAAATTTTTCAAAAATCACTGCGAGCTCTAGTCAATCGGAAATTTTGGACGTTTATAGACTCAAATGGCTGTATTTAAATGGCACATAGAACATGTCAAAACCTGTTCATCTTTTTGAACAATCGCTTTTAAATGCGGGATGTTTTGAGAGGAAACCCGGATTTTGCCACCATTTTCAAACATTTCTCAAAAATTGTGTGATTCAGCTATCAAATCAAAAAGTCCTCTAAGTAAAATTTGTGATTTCTATGTAATCAAATCAGGGATTTAAGGCAGAAGCGTGCGACTCGTTTTGAAGAAATTGAAAACAGATATGCGGAAGTTAGACTTTTTCTCATTTCCAGCCATAAATTTTGGAAATTACTCATAAATTCCTCAGCATTTCGGTTTTTTTTCTAGAGCGTGAAACCAAATCGCCACCATTCAATGGCACCAATAACACGTTAAAACTTGTTGTCGGTTTAGAGAAATTGTATTTATATGCGAATCATTTCATAGGAAATTCAGTGCGACAACTTTTTCCAAAAATATGACAAAATTTAAAACAATCGTATATCGACCTGAAGTTAGGAATTTTTATAGAAGCAAGACGCCTGTGTTTAATGGTAGGAGGTGCAAAGGAGTTACCGCATGGGTTTAGGAGAAATTAATTATTTTAATGTTCATATGGCAGATAGTGACTTATGACAAAATTTTTAAAAATTTTTGAAAAATCGCCCAGACAAGTCCTGAACTGAAAATTCACGGTTCCTATAGAACGAATGCCCTTCTATTTAAGCGTGCAACACAGAATTTCCAAAAAGAAACCAGTTGTTGAAAATAGACATGCCAAAAGCTGGATGGAAAAATGGTCATCGGGCGCTATAAGTTTTAAGAATTGCTCAAAAAATCACTGTGGGTTCAAATCACCTGGAAATTTGAGCAAATTATCGGCGAATCTTGATG